AACAGCTGCCAAAGCAGAAAAGCAACAAAATCAAAGAGCAGAAAGACAAAAAAACACAAAAAGCAGAAAAGCAACAAAAGCAAAAAAGCAGCAGAAGAAGCAGAAAACCAGCAAAAGCAGAAAAGCAACAAAAGCAAAAAAGTAGCAGAAGCAGAACAGCAACAAAAGCAGAGAAGAAGCAAAAGCAGAATCCGAAAAAATAAGCCCCAAAAAAAGAACGAAAAAAGAAAACGCCGCTCCTTGTGAAAATGTCGCGAAGAGTTGAAGTTTACAGCATCATAAATTCTACGCAATGATAAATTTCCGTCCAGCTGCTTTCAAATCAAGCTGTATAGAAAAATCTATCTAAGTGCTTTAACAACTTTACCAACTTGTAAGATCTCAACGCGGCGTCCGGCACAGGCGCTGGCTGTGTCCACCGGCGCCGCGCTCGGTCTCGCTCCTGGCTGCCAACCCGGCATTGGCGGCCGCGCTGGCTGCCACTGCGACGGGGAGTCTTCGAACTAATTGTCATCGCCTTGCAACCACCACGACGGGGGCGCCGCTGTCTCGTACAGGCATGCAGGGCGCTGCTGCCTCGCTCTTGGCGTCTTCACGGAGCTACGGCTTGAGGAGCTTGATCCAGCGGCTACTATAACTACACACTACGCAAAAGATGCCACACCCTGTGCATTTCTGTTTCGGAGGTGCAGTTCAAGCTAAAGGCACTTGCGTTGAGAGAGGTACACCGTTCAGTTCAGTTGCAATTGAAACACTGAATTGTCATCACACTGTTCAGCAGGTTGGGGGACCTGACCGAAAGTCTCAAAAGGTCGTCGAATTTCCTGCCATTCTAGTACAGGGCTTCGGATTGTGCTTCGAGGAGTAAATAGAGGTGTCACCACCCCTGCTCGTCTCTTCAGTGTCTCAAGATATTGAGATCCCGCATATACTTCTTCCAGCTCCTCCTCCAAGTCTGCCAAAAAGGCATTCTTCGGATGCGCTCTTGCTGCTAGGTGCTGAAACAAAGGGGCCTTCGGAGATTCCACACGTCTGGTCTCCATCAGCGTCACCGAAAACGGCGATCCACGATCCACGCCGCACAAGGTCGCGCCGCGACCGTTTCGTCCAAGTCACCCAGCAGGAATGGCGGTCCAGGGCCTTTTCAACAAAATCATCCCCCGGGCCACAGCCACGTCACAACCGCAAAAGGAGACAGGCGCTTTCTTCTTTTTGGACCTCTCGCGAAAGGGCTGGAATACTTCGAAGGAAGATCCACATGAAAAAACTTTGAACATCCCTGCCTTTGGGCTGCTTTGGGACCTGCTCCGATCTGCTCCATAGTCTTTACTATGGCTGAATTCCCCTAAGCTTCGCTAGTGAAGACAAAACATTGTAAAAACAATGACTTGCGCAGGATTCAACCCCTTGAACCAATGGCGCGCTAGGAATTGCAGAATCCTTCTTGCCCCAAATTCTCTGACGCATCGCCCACGTGATCTCGAGGCAAAGATAAAGATGATAAAAGATGATAAAGACGCCCCAAACAGCTCGGCAGCAGGGTCCCTCGCCCCACAAAAGGTCTCGATCTGAGACGAGACGAGAACTCGTCTAACGTCTAACGGCGTCGCTGCAGCGGTCGATCGGTGTGTCTTTGGAAGGCAAGGCTTTTGCGGCTCCTTGGTGGTGTTCTTTTCCACCTGAAAACCACCCCTGTCAACCCCAATCGCTCTTGAGACCTTCCTCAACCAGTCGGATCGGGCGTTTCGGGACCTTCGGGCGAAGCCCTTCGGGGGACCGGGCGGACGGGCGTTGGACACGTATCGTCTCCACTGAGAGTACACCAAAAAGGAGAGAATTCGGAGGGGGGGCTGCGTGTGCTGTGAGTGAAAGGGAATCATGACGCTCTCCGAGTTGTGATGTCCCTCACAACATGGCAAAGAGTGATGTCCTTCACCTTTGCCTTGTGCGGGAAAAAACGACATTAGTGATCATGTCCTCCCTAGATCAAGCAGTTGGATGTTTTTGTTCGATGTCAGGTCCTTGCTTCTTAGGTCTTCCTCTAAACATGTTTTATATGGCTTCAGAACCATTCTTCCACTCTTCGTTCTAGTGTCTTTCTGGAACTTTTGAAATGGTTTTTTCCACCTTGGCATCCACCCGGCCATGAGATGCCCCATTCTTCACGTCGTTGAAAGGGGGCTTCCGAGGCGCCGAAGTGAGGTGTTGCAGCAGGGTGCTGCGCGGAACCGCGGAAAATCTTCTGCTGCGCTTCGAAGGCCACAAACAGATCAGGAAACCACACGCTAAACCAACCGGCTTATCAGATAGATCTGCCCGACTGAAGGACCGACTGAAGTGTTTGGAAAGAACACTTGACTCGGGTTCACCGTTCGTCAGACCATTCGTTTGATCGTCTACTCCCAGAAGTCTGCGTTTGACTGGGTCCGTCATGAGATGGAACATCTGGGCCAGGGACCCCCGTCAGCCAGAGCTGCTCCAGACCTTGCCATTCAAGGAGGCAAAGATGGACACCCACCCACCCAAAGGGGGGGGAAAAAGGGTATGGCCAGACAAGAGGAGCAGTTGGAGTACTGAATTGGTCGATGATGCCTTCGTTGGAGTGTGTCCCATTCGCCTGGCCAAACCCCCACGTTCAGCATCGCGGTCCATGTTTGGCCTCGTGTGTCCATTCCACCGTCTGGGTGTGTCGCGCTGGGCAGTGGATCTGCCCACCAGCAAGCACTCGATCATGCCCGCTTGACCATCCAATAGACGGGCAGTTTGACTGTCCATTCAGCCTTGCGCAATGCATCACCTCCCAAGCCGAACATCTTGATGGATGCAAGGTGTACCTTTCCAAAGGGATACTATATTGTTCGCCCCACTATCTCGTAGGCCAAATCAGCCTTGGTCGTAGGTCATGGATCATATAGGATTGACCTGGTCGATTTGCATGGTTGAAATGTTTTTTCATGGGACATTTGTTGCAGCATGGCCAAATCGTCCGCACTTAAAGCACTGAATGGTGTCCAACCCTATTCGCCCTCGGTTCAAGGCGGAACCTTGAAGTGACCGTGACCGCTAAGGACACCCCAGAAGGATGCCCGGCGACCCCCCCAAAGGAAGGGGTTCGTACAGGGACCTTGTGAGTTAGATGAAGACTGACTGTTTTCCCTAAAATAGAACACTGACAAATAATGTAAAACAGAGGATCCGACAGAACGGATGCTGCAAACACACCCAAACGGAGCAGTTTCCGACGGGAGCTAGCTCGCCGCGCCAAAAACCTCCGCCTTGGGCGCAGGCTTTGGCACCGGCCTTCCTTGGGCGGTTGGATCTGGCTGCACGCGCGCGGATCTCTGCAATGCCTGGAGAGCCTTTCCACACGTTCTCCGTTGAAAACGGCCTGCTCCGTTTGAGTCTCCCGAATCACCAGACTGTGAACGCATGACGAAATCCGGAAAAGGACGGGCTAAGCCCCCTAGCCCTTCATGTCCAGAGTCTGTCCCAGGTCGGACCGCCTTGAAAAAACACCAGGTCGGTGAGCCGGTTCGGTTCGAGCCCTTTACGATGACATAGAAATCATGGAAGCGGAGTGAGTGAGTGAAAACCAGCCTGTTTGGGTCTTCCAAGAACTCATGCTCCTCCGATGTCCGGTCCTCATTGGCACCACTCGATCTCCCATCCACGGTTCTACCAGGATGAAAATTCAGGGAATGATCCTCGATCTTCTCCACCTCTTCATTTTGGGAGTGGGGAAAAAACACAACCATGTCTCCCATTGGTCGCGTCGTTCGCTTCGTTTGGTGGTTCACGGACTCCTCTTCCCAACCGGAAAAACGTTGGAACCCAGTGGGTCGGAGCCGGCTCCGACGCTCGGGCGACCAACGGACGTAGCAAGTACACCTGAAGTACACCTGGAGGGTGTGTGGAGAAAGGGGATAGTGACTGGGTAGTGCATCAAATCGCTGAAACGGATACGATACATGAAATGTGCATCAAACATACCGTACATCGTACACCGCACACCCTGGAAGAGACCCACATAGAATGTGAGTCTTCCACGCCCGGTTTGGTATTCGATAAGTCGTCTTCCAGTCTGGTCCATGCTTTTTTCGGTTCCATGTGGGTCTCTTCCCGGGTGTACCTGTTCTTATGGGGTCATTGTATGTCAATGTTCCATTTTCGGTACTTTGTAGAACGCACACTGAGCACACTGAGCACAGTGCTCCTCTTCCTCGCGTCTGACCCTCAGACCCTCCAGCAACCATCGATCCCCGCTGCGACGCGCCAAAACCCGTTCCTCCGGGCGCGTTGGGGGGGGGGACAATGGTGAAGCGACGGAGTCAACGAGCCCAAGGCATCTTAGTGAACGATGAGTGAAAACTGGTGGACTGGAATTCCAGGACTTCATCGCCAGTGCCATCGTTAGTGCCCTCACTCATGGTGACTGTTGGTCCAAAGAGAGGGGCCCCTACATGGCGACATGGATCCTTCATGTGGGGGCGCGTTCATCAACAGCATGACGTGGCTTTTGGAACGTGCATCAAACAGGCCAGAGTGTGTCACCTGTTCATACTCGTTCCCTTAGCCTTTGGGTGGAAAAAGCTGTTGGGGCCGGGAAAAAACGTGGAACCTTCGAGGTGTTTGGATGAGAAAGATGGGTCAAACTGATCACATGCTCGGGCCTAGGAGCTCGGGCCATGAACAGAATGGCACACCATCTTCGGTTCCATTCTCCATCCCATCCTTTCATGTCTTCCTACTGGCTGCCCTCAAAACAGAGCACTCAAAGCCAGCCAGACAGGTGTTTTACATGGTTTTAGGTGTAAAATCAAGCAGCCAGACACGTGTCAGTGGGGTCTATACCCTCACTGAAGACTTACCTACTTGGGCATGGCCTTCCCCAACCTGTTCAGGGTCGGAAAGAGGGTCTCTTTTGGCTTCACCACACCCCTTCCCGGCGACCGGAAGCACTCAAGACCGCACTACCGGGTCACTTGGGACGGCTCCCATCTCTAAGGCTTTCCGATCTCCGTCGCGGGCGGCGACGGTGCGGCGGCCTTGCTAGGCTGGTCGGTCTCGGACTTCGATGAGAACCGCAGGCATCGGGCGATGGGCTTCCTCGGGCGGCGTTGGGCGGGTCGGACGTCGCAGAAGCTGGGCAGAGCTGAAGAGCATGACATAGGATGACTGTTGCAAAAAACATCACTTCTATAGAGGGCCGTTTGAAAAGAAGAACCGGAGAACACCTTAAAGAGTTCTGAAGCTCTCGTGAAGAAGAAGCAAGCTCTCAGACTAGAAAGCAGAAGCTGGCCGCCTATCGTTTGAGGTCCATCGTGGATTTAGAGTGATCACCCGAAGCTGAGAACCCAGCAACCCCAACCCGGGTCACCCCCAACCCAGGTCGCGCCGGGCGAGCGGAGAGGGCCAAGGAGCTCGTAGAAGCGGGTGAAGAGCCAGCCCAGCAAAATCGTCGCGAACAGGGTGGAGAGGATGGTCCACCACTCGGGAGAGGCGGAAGGCGGAAGGCGGAAGGAGTTCCGTTCCGAGGTGGATTCGACGCGCGTTTCACGACGCGCCGCGCGAAAGGCATGATGTGAGATGTCGAGATGTTGAGACATGTTTGAGCGTGGGGCGATGGCTTTGTGTCGCGGGTTCTCTTCGCGGGGGTCAAAGAAGTAAACTTTGGTCCAAACTGCTGTGAGGGTCACCGTCTGGTTTAGATTTGTCACCGTTTTCTTGTGATGTGTTTTTTGTGTCGCTGACTTCCTCACCTTGCGTCGCTCCTTCTCTACCGTAGGTCACCAGTGGTTCCAAAGACTAAAGCCCGTAGGACCGAAGAAAACGCTGCTTCCTCGCAGGCAGCCTGCGTCACTTGAAACAACGCCCCAAAGAAGCGGTGTCGGAGCCCGCGATCAAAACCCAGAAACCACCAGAAAGAGTGAAATGGATGGAACGTACCCCAGTCCCAGCCATTTCCGATGTAAAGTTTCTCAAACTGACATCTTGGAGACCACCGTCCCTTGTTTCTGCTTGAGACTGACCGCGTGCCGCAGTCGGGCGAAGCGATACTTGCCGATGGGCTTGGGCGGCCGCTCTCTCAGCGTCCGAAGGCATCGATGCGCCGGGAGCGCGTTTGGCAGGTCGTTCACAGGTCGCTCGGGATTGCTGGGCACCCAAACCGTTCGGGGTCGGGCGGGTGCCCCAACTCTACGTCACATCCGCTGGATGAGATTGAGGCAAACCACCACTTTCACATCCCTGGAAGACCTCCGGTAGACTCATGGGCCGAGGTGCAGGGTGAAATCCATGCCTGGTTTTCACGAGGTAGCCCGTGAACTCCAAGAGCAGAAGGTGGATCCTGAGGACTTGTTCCGCCAGGGGGGCGGGTCCGAAAACAGGGCGCCCAAGAAAGGCCAAGGGAACTGCGAGTCCAAGCGAGGCAGGTAGACCTACATCTGATGATTTCTGTGAGGAGCTTCTATTTACAAGTGGGTGTCTTCCAAATAGGAACTGGGTGTCAGAAAAGCTAGGAACCAGAGAAAGATACAAACACAATCAACTCACACCCTTCCCAGCCATAAGTTGCAAGCACAACCCTGGCTCCAGTCAGTGCGCCCTTCCATCACCTGGCATCAAATATAGGATCGGAGAAAAGTTGGAACAACATTATATTATATGAGTGAAGTGAAGTAAAGTGAAACGAGTCTGACTCAAAAGTGAAGCGCAAGAGGATGCAAGAGGTGTAGCTTGGCGCGCTTCAGAAGAAAGAAAGCGTTGCAGGCGCTTGCTACTGTGTAGTTTCCAAGCGCTACCAGAATTCTCGGGGAGCGATATCTTGTTAACATGGCTGCTATAATGCAATGTTTATAAAATATTCACAAAACTGCCAAATGAAGCGCCAGGAAATCACCAAGACCCGTTGCAGCTTTCAAATGACAGCCCGCCAGCTTGAGGCTTGACAATCCATTCGGGAACTTGCAGTACTCAATACTCAATCTAGTCAGGAACTGGCAGGCTCCTGCTTCTCTTTGGGGATGACTCTGTTGAGAGTTTGCTGCAAGCTCATGGAAACAATTTCAGAGCAGGCATTCATGCTTTACAGACCTTTGAGGTCCTGCAGCGACATATCCAAAAACCCGCAAAGCCACCTTCGAGCCAGAGTTCATGGCAAAACTTGGTGTCGCCAGAGTGCATGGCAAAGCTTGAGGACATGTTTTCCACTGGGAAACTTGGCCGGTCGAAGTTCACTATTTGGATATTGGGGGTGGTGGAGGGGAGCAAAACGGGGGGGCGAAAACCCATCGCATTTCGAAACTCAGGCTGGGGTCGAAAACGTGATGGGATTTTTAAAAGTCCCATCGCTTTTTGGTAGGTACGATGGCCTCGTGATCGTGATGGGATTTTCGAATAAATTTGGCTTGCAAAAAAAATTGTCGAAGAAACTGTGATGGGATTTTTACCAATCCCGTCGCGATTTTGGTTGACGAAAATATTTGTCAACAAAAACCCGTCGCGATTTTGGTTGATGAATTCTGTTGTCAGCAAAAACCCGTAGCAATTTTGGTTGACAATTTGTTTGTCAACAAAGCCCGTCACAATTTGTCTAACAAAACCGATTGACTTGATACCCATCAAGAGGGCCTCCGACAGGAGCCGAGATTCTCTGTGGACAAGTATTGGGTATTGCAAGTTCCTGAATGGATTCTCAAGCCTCAAACTGGTAGGCTGCGATTTGAAAGCCGCAATGGATCTTGGTGAGTTCGTGGCGATTCGTTTAGCAGTTGTGTGTAATCATTGTTTGGCAGTTTTGCTGGCAGCCACTTTGCCAAAATATCGCTCCGCGCGCCAAGCTACACCTCTTGCATCCTCTTGTGCTTCACTTCAAGTCAGACTCGTTTCACTTTACTTCACTTTACTCATACAATATAATCTTTGTTCCAACTTTTCTCCGATCCTATAATATTTGATGCCAGGTGATGGAAGGGCGCACTGACTGGAGCCAGGGTTGTGCTTGCAACTTATTGCTGGGAAGGGTGTGAGTTGATTGTGTTTGTATCTTTCTCTGGTTCCTAGCTTTTCTGACACCCAGTTCCTATTTGGAAGACACCCACTTATACATAGACGTTCCTTGTGGCGGTCTTGGGATTTCCCTAGACAACCTGTGCAACCAGCAGCTCCATGTCGGGGGAGTAGGGGGCAGCCCAGAACATCCACAGCCCATGGGATGGGACGAAGCAACACCATTCTGACATGGACCTGCTGGAAGAAGCGCGCTGATATCGGCCATGGCTCATGTAACAGCACATCGAGATATCTCCCAAGAATCGCATCACGCGGCTCTTGAAGAGGCGCACCAAGCAATCGTTCTGCCTCGCAGGATTCGTGAGGGCCAGAATCCAATAGTAGAAGAGGATCGGATAGAAGACCTCGGACGTCGGCGAGGCCAGGCGTCTGGATGGTCAGCACATCGGTTTCTCGCTCCTTTGGGAAATGCCTTCAAAACCAAAAAGATTGCAATCCCCAAAAGTCCAGTCACCCTTTTTCCTTGTATTCTTTGGATTTCTAGGCTTTTCTAGGGTGTAGACCAGGACCATCCTGGTGTCTGGGTGTCCTGGCTGGACTACCCAGCCCACTATCGATGTCAAGACAACCAGGTCTGGGATCATCCAGGTAGATTTCAAGCTGCGTGGAGTCCGGCTGTCCCAGCAGTCCCAGCTCCCAGTCATGCGACATCCCAGTTCGCTCCCTGTTCGTCTGCATCAATCCCAAATGTTCAACGAAGTAGGCGAAGAACTGTGTCCAATGTGCAGCAAACAAGTCGATTGATGCATTCATGTGTTTCTGGACCCCCAGTCCCAACCAGAAAGAAATGGATGCTTCATGATGTTTCCCCAGTCCCAGCCATTTCCTATGTAAAGGACTTCAATTGCCATATTGGAACCACCAAACTTGTTTCTGCTTGTGCCCATGCACTGGGGTTCCAGGTTGCAAGGACCAGTTGGACTGGTCCAAACAGGACCGTACGGATTGGAAACCGTACCCTTTTTTGCAGGTTCTCATGTCAAATTCATTGGTAAACGCAGTGCTTTGTCATGCGTTTTGCCTAAATTAAAAAACGTCCTTTTCGCGACACCTCAAGTTGCCTGCTTTTTGTGTATCTAGCTGTCCCCAGGCAGCCTCCGTGTGCAAGTCTTTTTCATCGATGCCATTGTCGAGCAAATCAGCGGCGGCGCACCCATCCGACATGGAGCTGCTACAACTACGCAGCAAAGGCCAACTCAACACCAACAGTCGCCAACAGAAAAGGACTTAGTTTCTGTTTTTCGAAAAAGAAAACCTCAACCACACAGTGCACCAAAGTGTGAACAACGAAAAACGAGTTTCTAACACCTGCTCCCAGTTTACCCAGCCACGATCTGAACCCAAACCTGTTTCGTGAACAAAAGAAATTCAAGGGTCAGAACAATCACGAGTTAAGCCGTCTACGTACTGGTCTAAAGAAAAAGGGCTGACGCACCACAAAAGAAGAAAACACAAAAACGAGGAGGACAAGGAACACCCGACAACCGAAACAACAAAACTAAAGCACATACCGTGGCTACGTCTTGAGCCTTCGTGCTCATGAGACGTATGTGAAAACAACGATGTTTTCTGTTTTTGGGTCCCCGTTTACGCTATTGCTTCAACTTGGTTACAGTATCTTGCGATATGCTCTTACCCAATGCATTGACACGCCATAACATTTGGCTCAAGGTATGTGCGTGTGAAAACAGCCGCTCGATCGCCTTCGCCCACTCGCTCTTGTGAACCTTGTTGGACTGTGAGTTGAATCCAGGGATACTATGCATTACACGCTCCACTGCGGGGAATTTGATCCTCACCCCACCCTCCCACCCCCCCCAACACCATGCGATGACATGACCGAGCGTCGTGGAGTCCAAAAATGTCAGAAAAGTGGGTCCGGTTTTCAGTCCCTAGGCAAACAGGAGCAATACATCTCGTCTTGCAGTCAAGAGACTTCCAATGCAAGTCTGTTGATGATGAACTGCATTTCACCTACTAGACTTCCTGGCTGGCTGGTATGCACCCAAACATTTCCCCCCAGAGGTCCCTTGTGCCTATCATCAACGGAGCTCTTCACACCCTCGCGTCAAAAACACACTCTTCGACCCCATCTGGGGCGGGGGATCCCAAACTGCGATTCACGTAAGGCTCGGCCTCAATTCCAGCAGCCCCCCCTATCCGCGATCTTCCCTCGGAATCCCATGACCATGTGTGTCCTTCCCACTTTTCACCAGGTCCGAAGCGAACAACACCCAGGGTCCATCCCACTCCAGCTTCTGAAGTGCTCACCACACCGGAGTTGCCCAAACAGTCGGTCCCAACCACCAGGTCCCTGTGCAGCTCAAAACCACCGACGGTCCAAAACGGAGAAAAAGTGCACCCCCTGGTTTGAAGTGCTCCGGCCATGTTGGCCATCCCTAACAAACCTATATTATATCTTACTCTAGATCTTCGAATTATGAAAAATGTCTATTCAAAATGAAAAACTGCACAAAGGCAGAAATGTTGCATAGTTGGAAGATCTGTACAGTATTTTTCTGCAGAACCAACTTCGCACCAGGTTCCCGAACTTCAGGAGCTTTGGGTCTCGCTGATTGTGGGAAAGTCACCAACATCCACCATGAGGAAAAAAGGCGATATCATCTACTTATACAAAGTACGACCCACCAAGTGGGTTTTTTGCAGGACTGAGTCAATGAATGAAATGCTGCTTCGTCCCGCACGCTCCGTTTCCCGCGGGGAAACCCGCCAGGACCAATGCTGCAACGCTCCTTGCACTGCCGCGAACGTGGTGATGATGAGCCAAATCACGAAGAGGGACAGAGGTCCAAGACAAGGCTCTTGAGCGCAGCAGCAACAAGCCTCGGCCAAGAAGCTACTGGCAAGTGCCTTACTAGTAGTAACAATGTTCGCTATTAGAAACAAGTGCCACGCTAGTAGTAACAGGTGCCTTACTAGTAGTAACAAGAAACCGGGTCCTCGGTGACCCAAACCGCCGCGCCTCGTCCAGTTCCTCCGGGCGCGCGCCGCGGTTCACCGGCGACACGTCCAAGTCGGCATCCTGCGCGGAGGCCGTGGGGCCGGCGAAGCGGCTCGGTGGAGAAGCGTACGAAGCTGAGAGAAGGAGAGAATCGATTGGATGGATGGGAACGGCATGGCATTCAACGAAGATATGTCGAGTTCCAAGCACCTTGCGTTGATCAAATATCAATTCCGCCTCTGCCGCGGAAATCGCAGGCCTCCGGTGTTTCACCAAAGCGGAAAGCGAGAAAAGATCCAACGCGGACTGACTGCTGGTCCTTCATCGCTGCCTGCTGTCGTTGCACGCGAATGAGGCCGGCGGCGATGCCCATGATGAAGATCGGCAAGCGCAGCGGCGGGGTCATACGGAACCAGTAGGTATCAACACCTCATCCGGTGCCGCTGTGCACCTGTGTGCACCTATTGGCCTCCTATCTGCTAGGAACTGGATCTACCATGGTCCATCATGATCCACTTGCGTCAAGCGCTTTAGAAGTTCAACTGTTCTCCAACTTGGCCAGGCGGCTTCCATGGAAAACAAGGAAGCCAAGAGTCACAGTGCATGTAGACATGGCAATCGCTTGCCTTAGATGTTCCGGGGAGCACCGCCATATGCTATTAGGTTGGAGGCCATCGCTACTAGGGTGGAGGCCTTCGCTCTTAGAAACAAAGCAAAAAAGAAAAGGAAGAAAGGTCTTTCAAAACGCCTCCAGATCGACTCGGTGGTATTCTCTTCTGCACCTTCGGCAGCCATAGCTACTTTCGTGTGAGTAGCATGGCGTTTCGTGCGAGCTTTCTCAGAGTCTCAGCCCTCGCTGAATCGTGGTGTTTTGTCTCCGCCCAGTTTGGGCTACTGCAATCTGATCGAAACCTTCTGCGCCCCACCGAAATTCACATGTGCCGCCGCTTTCAATGTGGCTTCCATGTGCTCATCTTGCTCGCTCAACACACCGCTTGGGACAGCGGAGGCTTGAGAACACAAACAACAAAAAGCCAAACCCTTCGGCGGCTTCACCGAACCCTCGGAGGCTCCCCATCACCCCATCGATCCACGCCTTCGGAGCCGTGCGGAGCGGACAACCCGGTCGATGGGACAACCCGGTCGATCGACCCCCGGTGGACGACCAACTGGTGCGGTGAGCGGTGAAGACCAGTTGGACCGAAGCTCTCCAAGTGAAGACAAGACTTGGGGCGAATGGCCGAGCTCCTGGAAGTGCCATGCCAACCCTCAGCGGTTGTGGGGTGACCAACGAGGGCCGCCCTCAAGACCTCACACGACCTCGCGACGGCCAGGCTAACTATAGGCAATGTCTTCCACCCCAACTTCGGCCACCAAATCCCAGAACCATATAGCACCCAGCCCAAGCCTCTGGGGGGGGGGCTTGTGATCGCCGGCCTAGTTGGACTCCCGTTTGATTACCCTCCTCACGCCCCGAACTGCGGTTGACCGCTTGCTCTTCGGTCGGGTCCCACCGGCGCGGAACAGCCAAGGCGCAGGACGTACATGGTCCACACCAAGATGGGTAGCCGATGAAGTGGCACTCGTTGCATCCGCGGGGCCAGGGCGGGGAAGCAGATGTAGAAGAAGAGCATGGTGGAAATCGTCCAGGTGAGCTCCTCAATGGTGGGAGATCGTCCGGATGGCGGAGATGTCTGACTCAGGGCCCGTCTATCTTCCCTAAGAAGTCCAATGATGAACATGAACTACTCCACCTGGAAGTCAGTCCATCCACCACTGCCAGTTCACTCTCAGGATCGAAGTCCAGGACAAGACGATTGCATCGGAGCGAAGACATGGAGTCAAACTCGTATGAAGAGATCTCTCGAAAGAGCTCTCTCCCCCAAAAAAGGAACAAACTCGTTTTTTCGCAGGGGCGACGTATCTTCAGGTCTTCAGGACGAGTGAAGACACTGCGAGGACGAGGGCTGAACACACCGGCTTCATCGGAATGCAGAACACAGTGGACCACTCCCCTGACCGTTCGGATGACCGGAAGACCGGAAGACCAGGTGGTTTGCACTCCATGTAACCCGTATTCTCACCTCTGAAAAGGTCGGGTGAATGGTCTTGGCCTAGGGGGCATTCGAGATGAGCGCGTCAACTCCGCCCCATCTCGTCAACTCCGAAAGGCCTCAGTCGTCCCTCCGGTGGTCACTGAGTTGGTGGTCACGTCGCGCGGGATGTGATGAGGGTCTTCCCTCACCACTCAAACCAGCGAAGGAGACCAGTTAACAAGCCCCACTCACTCCAAGCAGCGAGCATCTCACTCCGCGTCGAGGATGCCGTGCCGACGACATCTTCCACGAATTGAATGAACATGGGTTCCAACTCCCGAAACTCCTCTGTCGGAGCGATCCCAAAAGCATCTAAAAGCCATCACACTTCCCAGTTCGCTTCCCCTCCCTCCCTCCGCACCCAGACTCGACTCACCTCACCTCACAACCCCCAACGAATGAGTCGTTGTCTCAAGGCTCGTTGCCCACGGGAAAGGAGCCCATCTGGTCCCAGGGGAAGACCCAAGACGTAAGCCCCAGGAAGGTCAGCAAGACGTTCCTCGTGCACCGATTGGACGACGGAGACAAGGATGATCGATGCGCACGTGGTGGACCAGGACGGACGATGTGCGCGGTGGGGCAAGAGCCTGGAGCCCTCTCTTTGTTAGGGGATGGGCCTGTGGGGCGGAGGGAGACGCGCCGACGTGGTGTGTTTTCTCTTCTCCACGCGATCACGGGTGCGTATTTTTGACTGGTGGAGGGCGCTTGAACAGGTCCATTCCCGCCTGACATGGTGTCAATCCAATAACAAAGAGCACGAAGCTTCCTGGTTGAGCAAAAACAAATGTAAGAAAACGGAACGGCAATTCAACAAAAAACAAGTATATTGTATATAGACATAAGAGGTTCCAATCACTCGTCCGCGCTCTTTCAGGTCGGGACCTGGGTCCCCCATGATCCACCGGCCCAAAAAACGGGCCACGGCGGTGTTCGCGTCGGATCGGTTAGCGGTTGGAAGCAGAGAAGCATCCAGCATCATCCAAGTTCACCGTAACTCATCCGGGGTGCAGCACGTTGGCGCCCCCCCGTTCCATCCGAAACGTTCCAAAATGAGTTCCAAGATCCATTGCAAAGAAGCGTCAGCCACGTCACCCTGTTCTCATACTCATTCACCTGACATGGCCAAATTGAGATGTTGTGAGACTACAACGAAAAGATCCTTCTTTTCAACGGGCACGGTATCTTACCACTTGCACTCGCGCAGGTCTTCTTGGGTGTTGGGTCATTAGCGTCTTGATCGCCTGTAAGCTCCTCCAAGGCTTCTCTGGCTTTGAAGGGGGGTGCTTCTTCGACTTTCCTCGACAGAAGACTCCTTCTGCAGAACAGGAAGGCCACGGCCCTGACCGGTGGACCTGTTTTCGGACAAACCAGCCCCAAAAACTCCCAAGAACTCTTCCCTTGATCCAGTCCTGCCTCCGATCCGTCCAGGTCACCGGCCCCTCCGATCCGTCACCATACCCCCCCGGCAATATCGCACCCCACGCTCAGCACGCCTCCCACGAGTTCTGGAGTGAGAATCGCATGATGATCCCCAAGATGTTCGTCAACCAGAACCTGCAGCTGTTGAAAAAGAGGAACCTTTCCGACCTTTCCCACCTGCTAAAAACCGCGGGCTTGGTGCAAAACCCGCCCTTTTACCCCGAACCTTCCGGTCCCCCGAAAACCGAGCAACGGCCTTGAAAACGAATGGCAGCGACGTTTTCAAGCCCGGGTGGGTGGGACGTGTTCAAACGACTTTCGAGAGAAAAACGGCGTCTTCGGGCCCAACAACGGCCCCGTGTTCACGGACGTCGCATGGTGCGGACCGTCACGAGGTGCAAAACAGCAGCACGGTGTCTACCTCCCCTGGCGCAGCATTTCAGAAATGGTGCTTGGGCGGTCGGTCTAAGGAACATCGGCACCAAGCGCGCGAAGCGTCGGGACCAGAAGGTACAGGAGCTCAGTTTCGCATAGGAGCGCCCCTCGCTGGGATCCTCGAGGGCGGGTGACTGGGGAGGTGTGACTGGACACGAACAGAATGCTGATGGACCGGGGCGAGTCCGGTCTACTAGGAGCAAGAAGCTACTAGGAACAAGAAGCTACTCGGGGCTCCTGGCATCGCTACCAGGAGCAAGGACGCTACTAGGGGCTCCTGGCCGTACTACTAAGAGCAAGAAGCTAGTTCAAAAAAGTAAAGGGCGCCCAACACCAGTGCCCGTACGAGATCCCAGCTCGGCGGTTCAGTCTACTCCGTCTTGACGTCGCGTCGATCCTGAAGTTTGGTCACGAGTGGAAGGTCCTGGTGAGTGGTGCTTTTCTTGCTGCAATTCTCGCGCTCTGTCCGAGTCCCCGGAACACGTCTTTTTTGGGACTATTCCCATGGCACCAGTCCACTTGGGGGTTCCAACCCAAACCGAGCCAAAACTCGGGCCAGCAGCGACTCGGGCCTTGCCACCGAAAATGACTCCAGTGACGCACTTGGGACCACTACAAACCCATCTGGATCTCGTCGCGGAATCGCGAACTAGAAATGTTCACCACAAACTTTTGATGCTGGTTTGGAAGACCAGCGACCACCACAAACCACAAATGTTGATTCTTTGAAGCTCCATCCTTGGCATCCTTTTGCTGTGCCATCTGCAGGACCCAGGCTAGCCTTGGGCCCTAGGACGCACGGAGTAACCCAAAAAAATGAGCCCTTCCGCCCGGAACGGCACGTCCCTTCCGGCGCGTTCCTTCCGGCCGTTCCCACGCGTCTTCACACCGAGGGGCGTCCCAGGTCGGCCAGCAAATGCAGGTGAGCCAGGCACAACCTGCGCAGGTCCACGCAGTCTTCGCGCGTCGCTCGACTGGCGATGAGCACGGAGCGAGCGAGCTCCGGCGTTGGAGAAGAACATGCGCGATGGGAAGGCGGCTGCCCTTGGCACGACCATGTTGCAAATGGGCCAGATCTGGTGAAAGGGCCCAAAGTCTTTCGTAAAACAATGGTTGTTCAGGAAGAAGGCACCTGTAAACAATCAATGGCGGGCGGGCGGAATCCGCAGTTTACGGGCTGTGTGATCTGCGATCTGTTCAATCTGCGCATGGACTGCTTCGTGGGCCCCACACTTGGTCTGGTCACGCGCCCTTCACGGTTTTGCCTGTGATGTGCCGGCATGTGCGGCATGTGCGGGGGAGTTCCTCCCTGCCAACTCCGAAATGCCCCCCAAAATATCAAGACATAGAAACAATGCAGCTATGAACAAGCCAGAAAGATATATTGATGTCAGATATGTTATGCAAAAGATGTCTAGAGAAGAACCCTTCGCAACGCTCCCCGGAAAAAAAGCAAAAACAAGGGTCCATGACCTGCTGCAGCCTTGGCATCCAACCAAACTCCCCCGCCACTCGCGTGGTGGAAAAGTGCCGGTGCCACCATTCGCACGAGAAAGGACTCCCGCGGCTCTCGGGCCGCGAGAAGCCGCTAAGGGAAGGTGTGATCCGGCGGTCCTTCGGTCGAACCTCTCGGATGGTACACCTCAACTGAGCCAGTTCCAAAAGGTGTCCGGGTGCCTATGTTCCACGTCTGTTTTTGGGGGAACCTGAAAACCGATCGGTGACTCCTGCCCCTTCAAACCGGACAATTCCGCGAACGTGAAAAACCGAAAAGGTCCAACAGCCAACGCGGTCTCGCCGGTCTCGCTTCGTTTCACTCGGGCCTTTGGGTCGCTCCAACATCACTTGACAATAGCCCACGGCCATGACAAAGCCTGGCCGGTCCGGCGGGTTTGGGTTTTGGAACCTGATCCGGAGGTGCATTTTCGGGAAGACAGACAGGTGAGTGAATGAAAAACCCTCCCAGCCTCCCATCATCTCCCAATGCTCCAAGGCTTTGTTTGGTTCGACCCTTTTTGGCTTAGACCAGTCCATGCTGCACTTGAGTTTCGCCCCGGCACCTCTCTGCATGTTTTATCTTAATTATCTTATCATTTTTGGCCTTAACCACTCAGATAAAGCATGGGCTGACCAATATATGATAATATCATATTTGTCCAATATGCCATAAGTAATTTCACAAATGGAAAAATCTGCAAAATAATAAGATATTATCCCAAAATCCATATGAATAAGAGAAACCAACATAGGGTATGGATTTTTGGTGTTGTCGTTCATTCTTCTTATTGTATTTTGTTTTACTAACCTATCAATAATTTTCATTAAAAGATTCCATAGAAATTTATTGATAAGAAAGACAAATGCTAAGAGACAGATACTAAAATACAATAAGAAAATACCAGAAAGAACCAACATTAAATAGAAGAGGCCTCCCCCAAGTGGGACAAGGCAGCAAGGGCGGTTCTGCTTGGGCGTCACCGGGCATCACCAAACGCCCGTTCAACTTCTGTTCGAGCATGTAAAAACTGGGTGTCATCTGAAATCCTTAGCAAAACGATGGTCGTTCAGGATTCGAACCACCAAATCAATGGCGGAGAAGTGATCAACTCGAGGTCCCCCATCATCTTCCGACTTCACCCCAAAAAACTGAGATGCAAACAGCAAGACCCATCATTCTGGTTTTGTTCACCGTCACCCCGCAGCAACTTGGAGGGGACATGGGGACATCCGGAGGGACTGCCTTCAAAGACTTGCCATGGGGGAAGCTTAAAACCGCCAGACTCACTCCCTTGCTTCCGCTGCCTGAGATGATGTAGAAGAGGCCCATGGAGCCTCCACCCATCAAATAGAGTCCGCCCGGCTTGGTGGGGACGTATCTGAGCCAGCACGTGTCGAACAGCGACCCGCAGCTTTGCGATGCCGAACAGCGATGTGCTGGGACTGTCCCCCTGAGATCGTCCAGTCTATTTGAGAACCTCGATCTTTTGGGATGGTGACGGAGTTCTACCGCGTGCCTCGAAGAGGTACTCTCCAAACGGTTCAGAGCCCAGGCACCGCTTCACCAGCACTTCTGGAAGAGACCCCACCGAGAAAACGACGACACGACGTTTTTTCCGCCGATGTGTCTATGATGTGCCTCGGTTGTCTGGTGCGTCGAGGAGACGACGAGTCGGACGAGACACATGAAGAGATGCCCCACAATGATGTGGAAGACCGCGAAGCCGCGCAGACCATCCACAGCAGCGGTATCCTCAGTTGCAGGTGTTTCTCTTTGCGCAGAAGAAGGGGTCGCCACCGATCTGGAAGATACCATGCATCCTCCGCGTCAAACCGGCTTCGAAACAAGCCGCTATGCCGGGCCCGACACCTGAACACAGGGGGACTCGAAGCAAACCCTATGTATTGGTTCGGGCCCGCAGTCTCAGGGCAGGGAGGAAATGAGTTCCAAACACCTCCGAGAAGATGAGACAAACCAGGAGACCTGGAAGACGATGGAGGCCTGGAAAGACGCTGTTCCGAATATACCAAGCCGGACGGCTTTTGTGTTTCGGCTCCGGTCTCTTCCAGGGCTCTTTCACTGAGAAAGGGTGTTTAAAAGCAAGTGATTTCAAGATCTTCCATCATGGGACTTTTGGACACGAGGAACTTCCACGTCTTTTCTCCATGTCTTCCATGCGCTAAGGTCGTCCCAAGGTCCTCGTATCTCCACACCCGGGTGGCTGCCGGATCATTTCAGACATCTGAATTCAGACCATCCGACCATCCGACCATCTGAGTGTCCTGGACGTGGACATCTCTGACCAGATAGTGACCGGAGTGGAACAAGCCTTGCAAGTATGTGTATGTATAATATATATATATATATATATATTATAAATATCTTTTTGTGGCGGTTTGATGAGGTTTGGATCTTGTTCTGACCGGATCCACATGGGGCAGAAGACCGTTTTTTCCTCGGAGCTCCTGAAACCACGTGTTTCGCTTCTCTTTACCCAATGGCGATGGCTCAAGTTCGGGACGAAGAAGGGGTCAAGCTCAGGCCATTGACACAGACATTACTTCAGGCAGTTACCAGGATCTTCATGTCCAACTTCTTGAGTGTGTGGTGATGTTTTATCCACAGAAATGGACTGACTATTCATGCAAGAAATCTTCCGAAACCAACAAAGTCCTAGAAAGGCCCACATTCAAATTCATGAGGCCTTCTTGCTTTTCGCACGCGAACCCCTTCCTCTTCTCCCAAGCATCAATGGGCACCTTCCGCGTCAGCCGCCACTCCGCAGCGTCCATGGCGGTCGCAACGACGGTTTTTGGGGGAGGCTGGAGGTGGTCGGAGGGAAAGCCCAGACTGCGAGCTCAAGCAGGTGGTTGGAGGGCCAAACTCGATGGGGTGGGACCATGTGGAACTGGCATTTGGAGGGGCGAAGGCTTTTACTTCTACTCACTGCACTCTGAGGGGGTTTGGTGCTTAGCTGAGTAAACACGTGGTGCTTTCGTCCCCCAAAAAACAACAATGCCAGCGATGATGATTACGAAGGAAACAACTGGGCTGATCTGGATGACTGGCACTGAGAGGGATGAACCGAGCTGTAAACCCCAAAGGATGGCACCAGAATGACCACCCAGAAAATCATGGACCCGAAAAGCAGTTTGCTGCACAGTCTGTTCGGTCCAAAACCCAGATGCGAACACCAACTCCTGAGCCTTTTGGGCCATATGAAGAGCCTGGGCCTTGCTGGGCCGACCACCTGAGTACCCCGACTGCTCGCTCCAGTCCAACCATTTCGCCATGGACGGCGCTGAGCGCTGAGAGAACGCTCTCCGCTGAGAGGTGCTTCTCAAGAGAGGCGATGATGAAAGGACCCGATACCTCATCCGTTTGTTGCTTCTTTTTCCTTTTTTCGGCTTTGACGTACCGCCTGCGAGCTGTTCATGGGACAGAACACTCGGGGGAAGCTTTTGGGCAGCGCTCTGAGGATCCTCGGTTGGATCCTTTGGCGACGGGCATGCATGCCGGCTGCCAGTCACCAAAACGGGGGCCATCATGGGCCACAAAACAAGGCCAAAAAAGGGCTTGGTGGTGGATGTTGGTCCATGTCCTCTACCAGAACCACAAGAGTGAGCAATACCTTGGGGAGATGTTCCATGGAAAAAGCACTCAAGAAGAGGGGTTCAAGCCTGTGATTGTGGGCACCTGTTGCCTTCAGATGCCCGAGTTTCAGCCACAGGAGCTGCATCCGGAAACTTGTTGGGGCAACGGGCCACCACACAGTCCAGCTACCAATATGTGGCCACTGGTTCCAAAGACCAAGATGACTAAAACGTCTTCTAAGCTTGAGGCTATAGAGGGCCACCTGTGACCTGCAAACTTCACCCCAACCACAGCCATCCCTGTCTGAAATCAAGCCGTCGTCAGGAACTTGAGAGTCTGTTGGAAGATGAATCCACTTCGGAAGTCCGAAAACAAGTGCTTCATCCGGAAGAAGAAACCACTAACGAGCCCAACTCCCCTCGGGGGAGTTGCTCCATCCCAACGATCTTTCTTTCCCCAACTCCTTCGACCGTCAGAAAGCATCGTAAGCATGGGAGACTTGACATATCCCGCCTAGACTTCAGTTCGACCACTAAGCGAATGCTTCACCTGGTTCCTTTAAAGTCTAAACATCCTTAGTCAAACAATGGTTCTTCAAGTCTTCAGACCATGAAATCCATGCAAGCGGAATCTTCCCCCTCCGATTCGGTGGACCGGAAAACAAGCACCGATGTCTTTGGATTTGGTCGGTCCCCAGGGGAGATTCACCGAAAAGAAAGACAAAGTTCCTAATAGCTTCTTGTTACTAGTAGTAAGGCACTTGTTACTAGTAGCGTGGCACTTGTTACTAGTAGCGATGCACTTGTTCCTAATAGCCTCTTGTGAGCAAAACCTGGATCCTAATCCAAAGCGATTCTTGAGGTTTTTCGTCTACACCGCGATGTTTGGTCCATTGATTCCTAATCTTTATCGGCGCGTCCCGGGGGCGCTTGTTCCCAGATGGCCAGACTCTTCGAGCGGAAGGCATCAGATCAAACCTGGGTGAGCCCAAATCGTGGCCCAAATCGTCCGCCAAACGGAAAGCGACGTTGACGGCACCTGGGCGTTCTCACAGAGCAGCGCCAGGCCGTGCGCCGTGACGCACAGCTCGGGCAGCGTCCAGCGCTCCGATCGCTCGGGGCTCGGCTGGGCGCCCAGGTCCTGTCCGGGAAGGCTCAGGAGGCTCGGGGAGGTCGCGAGAGTAGATGGCGCCAGTGATAGCACCATAGATCCACAGAACAAGTGCTTGGGGACTGGGGAGTTCCATCCAGAACTGCTTCTGCTTGGGATGTCCCGATTTCCGGGCAGGTCCGTTGGTTGTCCCGCCCGAAGGGAGTCATGGCAATGCTTGCGCGGACCAGCCCCCAGCCCCTTGCATTCCGGGGCAGGCACCCAAAAACAAACGAATGCCCGTGAGACAGCGGCTCAGCTTCTGACCAAAAGAATTCAGAAGGCCCTTGTGCCCACATCTGACATGGGCCTTAACTATCGTTTCTAGGCCTAAAGCAAGAAGAGTGAGAGAATGGGTGAGACATCCTAATAATCGGAGTCCGGTCGAAACTTTTACACGTGCACACGACTGAAGGCAGTATGGGTCAGGTCGCGACACGTGGCTCCTGGCTCCCTTTTCCAAGAAGGAGCAAAGTTTGACAACACTAAAATTCACTAAAAGCTCTCAACTGCGATTCCATCCCTAGTTGGCAATCCCGTCAAATTGCCATGTCTCTCCAGTCTACAACCCCCCGGGTCCACTCTAGAGTCCTCATGATCTGCGTGTCTCGGTGTGTTCAATCCGTGCATGTCGAACCACACGATGCCATGTTGTTTCTCAAACATCCATGCCGCACGGCCCGCACGGCCCGCACGGCATGGCCCGTGCGCAGAAACGCGTGGCATGTCCCACCAGCTGAACTCATCGGCCGCTCTCACCTCACCTGCTCCACCAGTTGGGCCATCAGCTGCGGCAAGCTCTTGGGACGCACCTTACAGGTCACCTGAGAGAGCCGATGAAAAAAACAGGCGCCGCACCGCTCGACACTCGGAGTCCTCGGCGGAAGGTGGTTCCGTTGGCTTCTTGAGCACCACCGGACCATCCATGTTCCACCCAGACGCTCCGTTCACAGCCCTTGAGTCCCTCCAAACCATAGGGATTTGAGGGTCCGGACCCCTCCAGAGGATTCGGGTCGCGACCCCTGCATAGGTTCGGGTCCAGGAGCGTCTGGGCAATGGCTTTTTGAGTCCACAAAAGGTCTTTTTTGGGAGGCTTGGTCGGACCAAGATGCAGCGGTCGGACCAACCCTGGCGTTGTATGGACCGTGTTCCTCGAGTTCGGAACGACCGCGGAACGGCCTGGATTCGCTGACTGGGAACGTGCACGGACTCCACCCTGCCCAAGATGGCCTCACTGAAGCAATCCTAGAGTGAAAAGACACCTTCATCAAACCAGGCGTGGGGGAGTCCAAAACCTGAGAGAGGAGCTATAGGTGGAAGTGCAAGCTTCCCCTCGAGTTTCTGGTGCCCAAAAGCATCATGGCGGGCTTAAGATCGATCCATAGCCACATCTACCTACTCCAGCCGCATCCAGTTACCGCCCCACGAGGACACAGGAAACTCCACGGAACCGTGACGGCCCAGGAGCACAGACGCTCAGCACATCAGACATCGTCTCGGGCGACAACGGCGAGCGTCTGGCAGCGCCGTCTGGCAGCGCTGGTCGTACGGTGCCGTACCGGTGTCGTACGGTGCCCGTGAATCCAAAGCACGGGAGCTCAGCGCCGGTCGTACGGGTCGAACGAACACCGTGATGCCTTGGGGTCCGTTCCTTTCAGCAGTTGCAGCATGCAACCCCACTACGATCCGAAGATTTCGCCACTTATCTGTCCACCTCCTGCTCAAGATCCGCCCTCCGAGGTGTGGTCACACCTATGTGTCCAGAGTGTCAAGAGATCTTCTCCACGGAAGGAATTCACAAAGCCTTCGTAAAGCATTCTGGAACATGTGGACAACCGCTGTCTGCCCTGTTTGACGGCAACACAAAACACGCGTCTTTGGATGGGGAAAATTCACTAAGTTTTGTGAGGAATGAACACTGAGATGTTGCACAACTTGTCGGTACAAGAATCCTTCAGACCTTCATGGGATTCTCGACAGCTCTTCGAAAGCCTGATGTTTATTAATAAGATTCGACTCTGGAAGAACTCCTGCACCACCCAGGATGTTACAAAACCCTGCAAATAGTGGGAGTTAAAAAAAATAAGCCCAAAGGTGCTCTAAAACCCCGTGTCTTTTCTTCCAACGGCAGGACTCATCATCTCCAGGTGCTTCCTCCACTTCCCAGACCCTCCCATTTCCACGCACGGCTAGCTAGCAGACAGCTGGCAGAACACACGCTCTTCACCCGCTCTCCGCCTGCGGGGACCTCCTCTTCTGACTTCAGCCACTTCTCCAGCAAGTCCTTCCAACATCCAACATCGCGCCGAATCCACTCGGAAGCTTCGCGTGCGCTTCCAACGCCCGCCCGGAAGCGTTCGGCTGCGAGAGGGAGGTCTGAGCCCTCTGTATTGGAGTGCGGCAGTTCAGCCGCTTGGCTCCGAAACGCCCCCCAAAAGCTAAAAGGATACTCGAGATCCTCAAGATCAACGGTAAGCCCACTGATTGGCTATGATGTTAGGTCGATCCATGTCAGGGGTTCCAACAATCGATTATTCCGTAGCAGCTGTAGGAAACCCTGAGGACCCTTTCGTAGCAGCTTGGGCATCGAAACTCAACTCATGACGTAGCACAAACAGCTTTTAAAAGATAGAAGAAGCAATCACATCCTTTCAAACTCTCTTGATTACATGAAGAGGTTGTTTGATCCAAATGGGAGGAGGGAACGAACTATATAATTCATGTATCATCAAGAGTCTACCACCCGTCGTCTTCTCACCCCGACCGTGCCGGTGTCGGCTGCACGGCGTCGCCTCCAGCGGCGCCGCCAGCGCATCCAGCAGCTCCACGTCCATCTGCACCTGCCGCGCGCCCGCCACCGAGATCAACAACCGCGCGCAGGTCCTGAGCGAACCGGTGGCGCGGCTGCGCGGGGAGGGTTTTGGCGGAGCACAAAAAGGGGGTTTGCACCCGGAAGGTGGTGTTTCACACAAAAAGAATTGCAGGAATTTCGAAAGTATTGATAGTAAAATAGGTAACAACTCGAGGTTCTGCGGGAGACGAATGGATT